TTGCTTTTGCTATTCTAGGTCTCTTCTGGTTCCAAATGAATTTTTGGATTGTTTTCTCTAGTTCTGTGAAGTATATTGTTGGAATTTCAGTCAGCTTTGCATTAAATCTATATAGTAGTTTTGGAAGTATGGCCATTTTAGAAGTAGTTCTTTTTAATTAGTAAATTGATAGCTAATTTTATAATCATATCTGTTTACATTCCAACTTTGTCTTTAGTATGTTATGGCTTTAATACTTGTAACTACCACATCTAAGTACTATATTGAGCTTTGAGAGTTATGTAGAAGCAACATAAAGAAATATACATGTAACAGAAGTTTTAGGCTTTTAACCACAATCAAAACTTTAAGGTAGAGCAATGAAAAGGAAGAAAATGCTTTCAATGGAATTGGAAGAATGCAGTGATTTTCTAATGGCTTTATCATGGATTTCTCTTCCAATGCAAGGTCATTTTAAAATTTTTTATAATTCCAAATTTCATACCTCATTCTCTTTATTTGGTTTGGTTTGGTTTAGTTTAGTTTTGGTTTTTTGGGCCAGGGATTTAGCTCAGTGGTTCTGCCACCTGCCTCGCAGGCACAAAGTCCTAAGTTTGATCCCCAGTACAAAAAACAAAAAAAATTATATATTAATTTTGATTTTTTGAGACAGGATCTCACTATGTAGTTCAGGCTGTCCTTGAACTTACTGTGTAGTCCATGGTGGCCTTGAACTGGCAGCAATCCTCCAACCTCAGCCTCCCAAGTGCTGGGATTACAGGCATGTGCCACCACACCCAGCTACATCATTCTCTTAATTACACATTTCTGCCTGCTTTAGTTAGTGAGAAAAAAGGGTTTTTGTGTGTTTTTTTGGTACCGGGAATTGAACTCAGGACCTTGCGCTTGTGAGGCAGGTGGCAGAACCATTGAGCTAAATCCCCGGCCCAAAAAGGCATTTTTAAATTTGGGTATTCAAGAACCTTTGGATTCTTATTATCACCCCATCATCACACCAGTTCCCCAGGTAAAACAGTCCCAGTTCAGGTTTCTGAGTACATCCTAACCTTTTGGGAAATAGGGAACCACTGTCTTTACTTTGTCCCATTTGCCAGATGATAAAACAGTAAGAATAGGGTCAGGGATGTAGCTCAGAGGCCCCGCGCCTGCCTTGCAAGTGCAAGGTCCTGAGTTTGATCCCTGGTACTGAAAAAAAAAAAGTTATGCTCTAAAACAGTAAGAATGTGGAAGGATGTGTCTGTAGAGAGATAAGATCATTAATACATGCTTTGGAACCTGTTCTAAAGTTGACGTGTAGTAAAGAAGATAGAGTTTGGAGTTAAAGCACCCGGGTTTCCAGACTTAACTCACTTGCTGATTGAAAGAGCTCTGTAAAGTCACTTAACCTTTGTGAACCCTAATTTTCTTACTTTAGGGACAATAATGTTTGTGACTAGGTTATTATAATGAGCTTCTATATGTAAACACTTTTTTAAAGTCAATATATAACTTTAAATGATTGTTAACAGCATATTGTGTAAAAGTCAATAACTTTAGAAGATTCATGCCTTCTACTCTTTACTAATGGAGTGATTATTGCTGCATTCTTTAGAAAAGCTTCAGCTTTATCTTTTAAGATTTCTTTCAGAATTTTTGTTACTGTCTCTAATGATATTAATAAGAGACCTAGCTTTTACGTTTTAGATCACCAGTGTATATATACCATGCAGAGTTTGTGTTTGTGTTCTAGGAATTATATAACTGTTATGTATAGTACATAATTAATAATTATTCATTAACATAGGCACTTCACAGCATTTTCATATGTTGTATCTCATTTGATCTTTGCAAACATAGTAACAAAATAAACATCTGATGTGTTTGGGGTTTTTTGATTGGTGTTTTGTTTTGGTAATACAATTAATAACTTTAATACCCTTAGAAACCTCTAAAATATAAGGTTTTCTCAGCTAAATTAATAATTGAAAAATAATATGCCTCTTAGATTTAGGGTTGATGTCATTTTGTTTTGAGTTTTCTTGTCATAGAGTCAAAAATGAGGCTATTTCTGTGTCTTAGCAATGCTAATTTTATTCCTGTTAGCCCAGTGTTTCTCATATGAATACTGTTACTAAACACCAGGAAGATCAGTTAAATATACAAAAGTTATAAAACTCCAGGCAAGTGATAGATGGCAGTAGTGGCTAGTGCAGGTCCTAACAATGAGGTAACTCAGCATTTTTATCCCCTGAACCCTGGCCTTTTTCCTCCATTTGTTCTTTCTTGTGTGTCAAAACCTGCTGCCATGCTAAGAAAGATGGAGAGGAAAAAGGGAAAGGCTGGGTAGTTTTAAATATTTTCTAAAATAATGATGAAAGTAGAGCTTTGGTGAAGTTATGAAAAAATTATTTTTAAACTCTACTGTTTAATCACAAACCTAAAACAGAATTTTGTCTGTTAACAGAAATGATGGAAGGTTTTTAAATAAATGTTTTTGAAATACTACTAATGTTTGAAATTGTCTGAAGCCCCAGAGGAAATGTTGAGTCAGTTTGAGGTACAATTGTGAGGATTAATATTGAGTTTGATATTGAAACATCTTATCCAGATCGATTAGAAATTAATAGTCCAAATTTTGTCCTTTTTTCCCTCTTTACAGCATCTTCACCAGTCAAGAGTTCAAAATATGGCCGTTTTTCAGATGGTATATGTTTCCTTTTATTATGGTGTGCTTATTTTCTTTGTCCACTTTATCCAGAGATTTACCAATCCTATTGAATAATCATGGGTCAAATCCTTCAAGGCTTTCTCTCAAAACTTAAGTATTATTTACTTTCTAATAGATCATTACACACTCTGAATAACTATAAAAAAATATATCTTGTGTCTCAAGGAGCTTTCAGCATAATGGGCACCCAAATATTCTTTTTCTTCTGCTTCTGACTAACCTCTGCTGTCTTTTCTGTTGGTGGAATTTGTATCTCTCTACTGGAAATAAATGTTCAAATTATGAAACATAAGTTGATAGTCTTTTTTAATTATTTGATCATTAGGTGACAGCATTCAGATGTCAGAGCTTGGAAACCAGTCTCCATCACTCTCCAGCCAACGTAAGTTTGTTCAGTTTTTATTAAGTGAGTCTCTTAACATTTGTGGTCCATAAATGTTTTAAAATATCTTTTGACAGCAGTATGACTTCTGAGTCATATATTAAGCATTTCAGAGGAGAAACTACGTACAGGTGATCGAACTCGAACAACCTTGCACTTGTGAGGCAGGCTCCGGAACCACTGAGCTAAATCCCTGGCCCAGCAGTGAAATTCTTTATGGACAAACTATATAAAACCACATCTAGTTTTCCCTTTTACTTTATTGTCCATAAGACCAAAATTAAAGATAAAAGTTAATCACACCAGTATTTGAACTAGATTGGAACTTACCTTGTATATAGCTTAGGGGCAAGTTTCTTTTATTCTGTAAGCTTGTTTATTATCCTGAGCGAGTACTAATAAAATAAATTAACAATGATTCTCAAATTTTGGTCTCAATGCTCCTTTTCACTAGTAAATTAACTCCAAAGAGCTTTTTTATTATTATTCAAATTAACTTTTAAACCTGATACACAAAGGCATTAAAATTATACATTTTTGGGGGATACCATGTATTATTTCAATACATCTATATGTATTGAGTAATGTTTAGATCAGATTAAACATTTATCTCCTCAAATGTATATCATTTCTTTATGGTGAAAAAAAGTTTAAGATTCTTCTAACTTTTTGAAATACATAGCAAAAAATGCAGTACAGCATCACTATCTTTTTTTTAATCATTATCTTTTTCGGTACCACAGATCGAACTCAGGTCCTTGCACTTACAAGGCAGGCAAGGTGCCACTGAGCTAAATCCCCGGCCCCATTATCACTATCTTTAGGTGCCCTACTGTGCAATAGCATACTAGAAGTCTTACTCCTACCCTTAACATACTACCCATTATCAACCTTTTTCCACTCTTCTGTTACACCTGCTCTCCCAGCCTCTGACAACCATCATTTTACTCTCGATTTCCATGAAGTCAACTTTTTCAGATTCCACATATGAGCGAGATCATACACTAACTACTTGTTTTTATGTGCTTAGCCTATTTCACTTAATATAGTGATCTCCAGTTCTAACCATGTTATTGGAAATAATAGAATTTCTTTGTTTTTATTGTTGAATAGTATTCCATTGTGTATATGTTCCACTTATCCATTATAGCATTTAGGCTTTTTTCTGCTTTTTTGACCATTATGAATAGTGCTACAATAAACATGGGAAAGTAGATGTCTCTTTGACATACTGATTCCATTTCCTTTGGATATATATCCAGCTGTGGGATTGCTGGACCATCTGGTAGTTTTGTTTAAAATTTTTGGAACCTTTTTTAAAATGAATTATACTTGTCCATTCATATTTATGTAGAAGCTAGAGAAATTCTTAAGATACTTATAAATTTATTTTAAAGTAAATCTAGTAAAATGTAATATTACTTCATTTTTAATGCCTAGCTTAATAACATTCACTTGGACTCTCACATCTGCATCTGCATTCAGTCTGTTACAATGTGTGGTTTTGATTAAAATACCTGTAGATACCTCACAGATAACACTGTGAGAATTGCTGCTCTAAATGTTCTCTAGTACAATTATTAGGCTAAAGCAGTCAATAAATAATAGATATAAAAATGTTATTGCTACTGTCATTAACTGATAAGCACAATGATACATGAGAGCTGGCCGGGGATGTAGCTCAGTGGTACCGCACCTTCCTGGCAAGTGCAAAGTCTTGAGTTCAATCCCCAGTACTGGAAAAAGAAAAATTGTTTTTTATTTTTTATTTTTATTTTTTTTTGGTACTGGGGATCAAACTTGGGACCTTGCACTTGTGAGGCAAGTGACAGAACCCCTGAGCTAAATCCTTGGCCCAAAAAATTTTTTAAAAATGGTATATGAGAAAGTGTATATAAACTGATAAGCAGTATGAAGGGTGGTTAAAAAATACAGTGAATATTTGAGGAAAGCTTTTTTAATTTATTAAAGTAAAAGACACATTGTCATTAATCTCTCTCAAACTATTCCCCCTCACTTTAAACACACTTAATCCCATTGTTCTTTCCTCTCTCAGGAGCAGTTCTGGAAGTCCTCTTTTATGAGTGTTATCAGTTGTACTGATGTTCTGAATTGATTCAAAAACTTTACCTTTCATGTTCATTTTCAGTTTGGGAAAGAGCCAGAAGTTAAAGGATGTCAGATCAGGCGAATAAGGTGGATGAGGATACACGATAATGTTTTTATGACCCTGCCTTTCCTTTGGATGGCACTCAGCAGCAGCAGTCACTCAGTTTTTAATCATACTTCATAAAGACACAAGAAAGAACTTGGAGAACTGCTTCAGAAGTGACAAGAACAATGGGATAGATGTGTTCAAAGCAAGGGAGAGTATTTTGAGAGGAATTCAACAGCAATGTGTTTTTACTGTAATAAAATATTTTTAATTTAAACATTCATATATTTTGATCACCCCTTGTATATAAATTGTAAATTGATAGAATTATTACCAATAATAATTAGGATTTGAATTCAAAAGTAAATTTTACCAATGCTAATTTGGATGCACATTAAGATAGATAGGCATCAGTGCAGTTAATCTAAAGGGGCAGATGGCTGTTGTAGTATTGGATGAAATGTAGTTATACAGCATCGTTTTCTTTATCTTTTTATATATGTCAGAAATATTCTACCTTAGATAATTACCCATGTGAACGGCTAAGTTTCTAAATTTAAAAATATTTATAAAGTACCTTTTAATACTTTTTATCTCCCTACTGTTAAAAGTGCTAATAATCATTCTGCATTATAAATAGTTATTTCTGAGTGTTTATGCCATTTCATGTTTTAAATTCTACATTTTCCTCAAAGACCTTTTATTGCTTTCACATTTAAGAGATACTCATATTTATACATGTAACTTGAATCCCATGATTTGAGATTTGAAAACGTGATAAATGATTTTATTCTCCCAAGAAAGAGAATTAGCTTCCTTAGAATCAGCTTCCTTCTTTAGGCCCTTTTTCTTTTACCTGTTTATAAAGTTTAACACTAATTTTTAAAGTTCATTTGCTGTAGAATTTAAGAAAATGATTATATCTGTCATTTCTTTTTTTCTGAACAGAAGTAGCTGAACAGCCACGTAATGAATATTTTTTCAAGAAGAAATGGTTCTTGTGCCTACTTGTTGTGATAAGTGTTCTTGTCCTTTGGAATTTTTCTTTTATTCATATGCCTGGGGTAGAAACTACTGCTGTTCAAATGTTCCAGAACCAGATGAAACAACTTAGAAATAAGTACCAAGGTCAAGATGAGAAGCTGTGGGAAAGAAGCCTAATGTTCCTTCAGAAACATCTTAATAGCTCCCATCCTCGCCCTCAGCCTGCTATCTTGCTGCTCACTGCTGCCCAAGATGCAGAAGAAGCACTTAAGTGTCTGAGTGAACAAATTGCTGATGCCTATTCTTCCTTTCGGAGTGTCCGTGCCATTCGGATTGATGGGACAGGCAAAGCTGCTCAAGACAGTGATGTTGTCAAACTGGAGGTAGATCAGGAATTGAGCAATGGTTTCACAAATGGCCAGAATGCAGCTGTGGTGCACCGCCTTGAATCACTGCCTGCAGGCTCTACTTTAATCTTTTATAAATACTGTGATCATGAAAATGCAGCCTTCAAAGATGTAGCTTTAGTTTTGACCGTCCTATTGGAGGAGAAAACCCTTGGAACCAGTCTAGGCCTAAAGGAAATTGAAGAAAAAGTGAGAGATTTCCTCAAAGTTAAGTTCACCAGCTCTAGCACCCCCAGCTCCTATAATCATATGGACCCAGACAAACTGAATGGGCTTTGGAGCCGTATTTCTCACTTAGTCCTGCCTGTACAGCCTGAAAATGCTCTGAAAAGGGGCATCTGCTTGTGAGGGGTGAAAGAAGGAAAAATCATGTCTCAGATCTAAGAAATTTTCAGACTTTTTTTACCAGAGACAGAATTCAAAGCACTTTTTGAACGAACTGTTTCTTTTTCAAAGAAGTTAAGTTCTTATATAAACATGGAACATCTAAGTCATTTATTCAACCTAATTATTTGTGACTTCAGAGAATTATTTCTCTGTTTCTGGTGAGAGCTATGTTGAGTATTTAGAGGAGTGCAAATTGTATGCATTCCCATCAAGAATCTGTTTTGATTCTGGGCAGAATCATTGCTGTAGCATGAACAGTTTGAAGGATTAGGCGCCTTTCGTATGAATAAGCCTTGTTTTTAAACTTAACTTAGATTTTTAAGTTTGTTGAGTTAATAAGGCAGCTCTTTAATTGTAACCATGGGTTTGCCCATTATGTTTCTGCTGACAACATTTAGTCCTGAGTTCCTTAGTCAGCTTCTGCTTAGGAACAAAAGTAAGGAAAGATCATCTGCATATGTGTTTAGATTTTTTTCCCTTTAGTTTTGGAGAGTGGAGAGGAGGAGGAAAGGGAAGAGAGGAATTATAGAATGGATAAAGAAGGAAATGGAAGAGTAAAAAAAATTCTTCAATATGAAATATTATAATAAGCCACTAAGAGGTAGGTTAGTGAAACATCTAAACCCTTATCTTGATGAATTCTATTGGAATTTTTTTGTATTTAATATTTTTTTCCTCCTCTAGGAAATTCTTGGTTGTCCCAAGAATTTTTAGTCTGTATATTAGAATGCTTCATATAATTGCTCATTTGACTTTTAAGGGTAAATTCAGAGCAGTTCATTTTGTGAAAATCTGAAGTTTTTGTTTTAAATTAAGAAATAACAGTTTCAGAAATTGGTAAGCCATTTGTTAACCTGCTATTCTGAGCTATTATTGATTTAATTTCTGCTTTTCCACTTGTTGCAGTCTAAGTCTTTTAATGATACTCCATAACAAATGTAAAGATTTACTATGCATGTGATAAATTTGTGTTCAACAAGCCAGAAAAGATAGTGAACTTTACCACATATAAAGAATGTTAAATGTATAACTGGAGTTTTCTCATCTTTCAATTGCTTTTTTTTTTTCTTTAAATATAATTCTAGATCTACTTTGAGGTTTGTTTTTTTTTTAATTGTCCAAAAGCTATTAAGTGAAAATGCTGTTTTTAGAGTACTAGAGCCAGACACCAGCTTCATTTACCCTTTGAGGGCCTCACAACTTGTAATAAGTGTGGTCTGATTTCTTTCCACTAGAATTACCAGCATTCATAAATGTATACCCCTTTATTATAATTTATTCCTAATAATCAGAAGACAGATGATTTGATTTATAAAGGAGTATAAAACAAAATTTTGAGAATTATTTTATAGAGAAACATGTTTTTATAAAATGTTTCAGTCAACCAAATAATTTTAAAGTAATATGTTACTTATCTTTCAGGAAAAATAATTGTAGCTGCTGATATGTAAAAGCTATTTTAGTAATTTAAATAAATTTACTTTCTTGGTTTGTACTGTGTTATAAACTTAATGACTTATAAACCTTTTTTTAAATTAATCTCAGTGTTTTCTTCATACATGAAGCATTTCAATGACTTTGGCTTGGAGAAACAAAGCCCAAAGAACTGGAACCATTCACAAGTACTATACCTATACATTGATTGGAAATGGAATAGGCATTATTTCTTATTTTATCCAGGGATTTTGAATTATTATTCACATAGAATTACTTTAGGTATTCCTGAATTAACAAAAGAATCTCTTATAGCAGAGCTTCTTAAGCTTTTATCACTTCCCTAACAAGCCTTTTTTAGATTTTTTTTCCTATTGCCCTTCCTCGTAAAATTTTAATATCACATATGTACTGGGTATCGGTTTATAGCCTGTACATACCTATTATCTTTACCCCACCACTACCACCACCACCATGGACCAGTTTTCACTTTCACTGAGAATTCATCCTCAAGAGCATCTATATTTTAGGTAAATGCTGCCTAAAACTATTTTCTATTAAAGTCATTATAATCTTTTCAGAAGGGAAAATTTAGTGAGAAATCAGCCTAAAAAGAGGAACTAGGATCTCCAGAAATTGAGCACATTGTAACTTTGGGTGACAGCAGTGGCCCAAGGGACACAGTACAGTACTGGTTTCAAAATTTCTAGAAACTTAATTTTCTTCCCTTCTTTCAATATCTTTCTGTTTTCTAAACCTCTATCAAAACAAAAATCAGAAGTAAAGTGATTTTGTTTGATAAAGAGAATCATAACTTTGGATTTCTAAATTGCAAGCTAATAGCTTTATGCCAAAGCTAAAGATACAAAATCTAGTTCCCTGTGATCTTAGCTCTACAGAAAGTGGCCTTTATATTGTTTATGTAAGCAAAAAGGTTCTTACTGAATGCGTAAAGGTAATGCATTGTTCTGATATTTTGTCCTTATCAATCTCAGAGTAAAATCTTGAGGTATGAGCCATTAAGACCTTTTCCAAAGGAAGATTTTTATCAGCATTAACTACCAAGGATGTGAGCCCTGAGCCTGTGAAACCAAAGCAAGAAAGCTGCCACAGACTGGTAGAGGAGGAGTCTCCATCCTTGATTGCTTGTCTCTTTGTGTCCTGGATTCAGAGAAACAGAGGTGTGCTTAACACTCTTTCCATATGGTAGAGAGAGTACAGACTGTCACCTGAGCATAAACAAGGAGAACCCCTTGCACTCATGGCATAATGAAGTACTTGAGATTTCCTAAGTACTTTGTGCTTTTGTCTTCTGCACATTCTTAGACTCTTGTAATACTTCCTCTTCCTGCTTTTCCAATCTTGTGCTTGGTTAATTCTTTGCTCTTAAAGTCTTGGTTTTTTTAGGCAGAACTTTAGTGAAATCTTCCTAATCCTCTACCCGCAAGTACTATTTTAGGCACCTTTTTTTTTTCTTTTTTGGTAAGACTTTTATTGATCTTTATGATCACAAAACCAGCAGTGAGAAGTGGGAAGTTCTTGGGTTGAGTGACTTGGAAACTTGAAAAATCTATACTTCATATCTCTATGTTGTGCTTTAAAAATTTTTTTTTCTGTTACTCCTCAGTTCTTCGTAAAAACTTTTAGTGATTTTAATCTGGATTCAACAGTGTTATGAACAATTTATGGAAAAAAGATCTATCTTAGTAGTAAAGGCAGCACTCAATACAGAAAGGTCCTCGAGGAGAGGGTACATGTCAAGGTAAAAGACCAGGAATCTGAGATGTTTCCACAGTGAGATTTGTTTTTGGTGGTGGTGGTTGTCATTTCTTTGTAGTACTGAGGATTGAACCCAGGGCTTTCCCACTGAGCTTCATCCTCAGTGGTTTTTTATTATTTTGAAAAAGAGTCTCACTAAATTGTTCAGGCAGGACTCAAACTTGAAATCTTCATACCTCAGCCTCCCAAGTGCTGTGATTTCAAGCATGGACTAGACCAGTGGTAGCAAACCTGTGGCACATGTGCTGCAGCCAGCTGTTTATTATCATTGAAAATTCTAAAAGGTTTTCCAGCATCTGGAGACTTGTTTTTTGAGTGTTTTTAAAATAACTATCAAATGTTTGATTTTTAAGTATTGCTTAAGGCAGCATTATACTCTAGGTAAAAAATGATTGTGGAGAGAAAAATATTTGAGAAATAGAATTAAAGTTTGGTAATTGTTATATTTTGAGAAAATAGGACTCAAGTATTAATCTACTAAAAATATTTCTTCATTCTATTTAGCTTATTTTCTATCTCCAAACACTAACCACAAAGTAGTAGGCTAAATTCTTATTTCTGCATGTCTGTATATTGACTGTTAGCAGTTTGAAGGAAAGATAGTCAAACATACATGGTCAGGAATTGATAGTAAAGAATAAAAACCCTGTCAACCAGGAAAAGAGAAAAGGAGAGCTGGGATGAGGTTTAGAAGAATGTATATCTCAAGTTCCAAGAAAACATGGGAACTGTGAAACATGGACCTCAGCATTCATTGTCTGTCTCTCCACTGCCTCACCCCATTAGCTAGTTCCCCCTTGTGACTTAAATGCCAACAAAGTGATTTTGATGGTTCAATCTAGCAAATGGAGGATCCCTGAGAAGAATGTATGGTTAAGTATAGCCACTAGGTCACTTTCTTAGTAGGCACTATGGGGTAGGGTATGAGTTAAGGCAGTTTTCTGAGGTTAGGCCAATGAGTGGGTAAATATGGTTAGGCTGACTACATCTCCGTATATATCAAGACCTTTTTTTATATACAACATGATGCTATACTAATTCATTTTGGCCTTTTTTAAAACAATGAAAATGGTAATATTCCTATTTTTAAAACTGGGGCCTAGTAAGAGTTGTGTTACAAATGTGTTATGATTTCTTTCCATTCTGTTTTTTCTGTGCTGAAAGGAGGAACAATAGGTCATAGACTATCGTGCCTTGTCATAGGTCCACTGACCATAGACTGAAACCTCCAAAACTGTGAGCCAAAAACTTTTCCTCTAAGTATATCAAATGATTGTTACCGCAAGGGAAAGCTAACATACAACTAATAATGCAACTCAAGGAACTAGACAAATAAAAACATACCAAATCCAAGATTAATACAACAAGATAAAGATCAGAGCAGAAATAAAACTTTTTTTAAACCCCAAAGGATCAATGAAACACTTGCTTTTTGGAAAAAATAAAATTGACTAGCCTTTAGCTAGACTAACCAAGAAAAGAGAAAAATCTAAAATAACACCACAAATTTTAAAAAGTACAACTGATACTGCAGGATACAAAGGATTATTAGAGAATTATGGACAATAGTACAGCTACAAATTGGAAAACCTATAAAAAACAGATAATTTCTGAACATGTAATAAACTACCAAAATTGAACCAGGAGGACATAGAAAACTTTAGACCTATAGCAAGTAACAAGATTGAGTTAACAGTAAAAAAGATCTCAACAAGGAGTAGCCCAGGACCAGGTGGCTTCCTGGTGAATTTTACCAAATATTTAAACAACACTAATTTGACCCCCGCCAGCACACAAAGGTGAGCCGTTCCCAGTGCACAAGAGGAGGCTTCTGGGCTGCTGTACCATCCCCACCAGCACCCAGGAGGTGAGCAGCATGGCGCCAACAGCACATACACACACACACACACACACACACCATCAAAATGAGAAGGCACGTAAATGAGTCTCAAAACCAGACTTCCACATCACCTACAGCAACCCCAAAGGGAAACGAGATGGAACACTGATAATCAACCACCTGGACTCCCTCAACTGGCAGCAAAAGAGGATCTGGAAAAAATGAAATCAGAAATAATTTCTCAGATAACAGCAGAGATTGTGCTCATAGTGCAAGACATGATTAATAAATCTAGAGAGAAGATGAGAAACATGATGGAATCCCAATATAGGAAACAAATGCAATCCATAAAACAGATGCAAATAGATTTCCAGGAGATTAAAAACTCCATTGAAAGTCTATGCAGCAGGGCCAGGGATTTAGCTCAATGGTTCCACCGCCTGCTTCGCAAGCACAAGGACCCGAGTTCAATCCTCGGTACCAAAAAAAAAAA